TATAACGAAACGTTAATACTGAACACGTGCTGCTCATTCAAGAGAGGATAATTTTCTGCACAGACGGCACTGATAAGTGCTTGGACAAGCCGTATGTGAAAGAACATCGTTGTACCTCTTCGTCGAGCAACATTAACTGATCGAGTATAGTTAAGCCTTGAATTTAAGCTGTGTACACACCGCGGTACCCGTAATCTTCGACGCGAGTGCTTTCAGTGGCAACAAATTTCGAGATTACTGGATAATGTAACAAATCAATTTTGCCCTAAATGTTTTGTAAATTTGTACAGGCTTTTCACGTATGCGTTTATAAGGCAATCTTTTCTTTAGTGATTTGGACGAACAAATTAATCTAAACAAACTAATCTAACGAATTAATCTAAACACGATTTAGCCGAATATTAAACTTAAGTAGAACACAAAATCCTAAGAGCAAGATAACATTAAGTAGAAGTTATTTTAGGAAAAATCATAACGATTTATTTATTTTATTTAAAAACTTTTTAAAATCAAAAACTTGCTTAAAAGTCAAAAGTTTATCACTAAATCATCGTCAAATATGTAACAAATGACATCATAATTTTTCTTAAAATAACTTCCACTTGACGTTATTTGGATTTTATTCTGATTTTGTTTCGTCTAAGAATATCGTAAGTGTGTCTCAAGATATTCGGGTCTGATTTGTGAATAAATATCGTTATCGGAGGAAACTGTGGAAAAGGCGATGATAGACATGTTTTGTGCCATGCCAAAAATACAGCAAACTGCTGCAATTTTAGCACGATCTTTGACCCACGTTGAAACTGGGAAAGAATAATGTTTCCACATATAGAACTTGAAACGCTCGTATCGCGCGTTAGCGTTGTAAATGTTATATTCGCGTCATGCGCATGGTACACAATTCAAACAAAGTTCTATTTCACGTATACGCCGCAATTTGCGCGCTTGTAGCGTTTATGAATCATTTGCCGCGTCACAACATCACGTATATTACATAATAAAAGGTCGCGTGTCGCGTATGAGCAGTAGCGGACGGTTGCGGAGAGTTGCACGTGGGAGAAGTCCTCGAAACTGACACCAACAAAAAATTTTCTATCGCGGTTTTGCAAGCACGACACGCGACTCGCAACGCGATAGAATCGAAGCTTGATTAGCCAGAAATAACTGCTGAGTACAACGTTTAAATACACGTAGCGTGCTATATATCAAATCTCAATCTCCAAATAGAAAGACAGACGGATCGGAATTATAATATCAATTCCAAGAATGTCAGCTTTAGGATCACGGACACTTCCGAGAACCTTCGACATTTGTCGACCGGCACCAAGTTTAACTGCGGAAAATTTTAGAAAATGAGATCCGAACGGTTCTGCATGCCAAAGTTAACGCGAAACTGTCATCCTCGCGGTTGCTCTAATTCGCGTTATCTTCGTAACAAGGACTGTCACAAATTCTTCGTCCTAAAATTCCATAACGGTTCCAGACAAAATTTCACGATTTTCCCTGATGCTTTCAATAATATTTTGAAATTTTCATCCGAGTATTTTTCTGATTTGGAAACTAACAAATATTTGTAGAAATTTAATATAGCAACGTAAATTACTGCACGGAGAAAAAAGGTTTTGGTGGAAAATGATCGAACCAGAAGATTTTGATTAAATCAATCAGAACTCCAGTTCTGATCTCGACTAAAATTTTAGTAGAATTAGCTAGAAAATTTTCTGATTAAATTAACTAGAAAATTTTCTGGTTAAATCTACTCTAAAATTCTAGTTGAGATAATCAGAATTCTGATTGATTTAATCAGAATCTTCTGGTTTGTCCATTTTCAACCAAACCATTTTTCTCAGTGTATTAATGTTGGTGACATCGTTTGCATGTAATTGTTAAATTGGTAATATTCCAAAACTGTGTGAGGTACATATATTAAATATTTTTTAAGTCAAGAATTTTCATTTCTCCGAAAATGTTGCAAAATTCCCTGATGTTTCTCTAATTTCTAATTGTGTGACCACTTTGTATAATCAACGTTAGACACGTGGTTAACGAAAGAGCAAAAAATTACTCGAATAGAACGAAATTCGCTGGTATTATGAAGATACGTGACGACAGGTAGAACGTAGCAAAAAAGTCAAGGCTCTCTCTTGTCGACTGACCTTCGTCGTAGCTTCATTAAACTATCTAAAATCGTAACTAGCCGACCGTATTTCAGAATTCCTTGATTACACGTCATCTTGTGATTACGTATAATATTTATACGTTGAATAAATTATCGATCTCATCTTAATTCATGTCGGATAAACAGGAAATTATCGCGTTTATCTTGCACGGATTTTCTAATCGCGCATTTAAAAATTGTACAACAACGCACTGTCTCGAATATATGAGTTATAAATCTTTATAAATTATTTTATGTCTTTATAAATAAAAATATAAAAAATTTATATTCTCATAAACTAAAAAAATTGTGTCTGTACAGGGAAAAAATAATATAATATTAATAGCATAAAACTGGCAGTGGTGTAATTGAAAATAATCTTATTAATTCAATGACATAAATAATGAAAATATATGTCCATTACACTAATAAAATATAGTTTTCATTACTTTCATTTCTGTATATATACTAATTTATTAACTTGAGGTTTTTAGCAAGTAAGAAATATTAGTACTTCTAATGTTAATAATAAACTGTTGTTGAATAAACAAAGTTATTTTTAGCTGTTGACTAATGCTGTTAATACGACATAATTTTTCTCCGTGTAGAATAGTCTACATATACGTAGAGTAGACACAGATTTACAATAATTGCAAAAAAAATTACGGCGGCGAGTTGGAAAATTGCGCAACGTTTCGTCCTGAATACGTAATACCATAAGTATCTTTGATAAAAGAAAAAAAAACGAGAAATAGGATGGATTCCGTTCTCGTAAACTCGAAGAGTCGTCTATAGAATGGTGGAGTTGATACGAAAGTGGGTACGGATTTGCAATGGTCGCGAAGAAAATTACGGTAGCGTGTTCAGTGATAAAAGTATACCGCACAACGCGGGGCAGATCGATGCAACTTTTTCCACTCGCGCGATTATCTCGTTTCACCGCTTACGGTGATAAACGGTTAACCCCCAAGATGCGGCCAAAAATTGAATAATAACGACCAGAAGCTGCGTGTTCGTACATTTGTCTCTCATTTCTCTTCTGCGATTCGTTAGAGAAGATGTTAAACTATTCACATTAAAATGAAACTACGGATACGATGTAATATGGATTAATATAATTAACGAGATTCCACTACCAGTCCATTTTTCAAAAAATTTATCAATACTGACACACTCGCGTCTTATAAAACTCAGCGTGACTTGCTCTATTTTAATGTACATTGTACTCGATTGTGCGATATTCACTTTAATTTCCATGTAATAATTTCAATCATAGGATTCTCAGGGCATAAAAATGAAATATTTCATTTTATATGTTGAGAATCCTATTTGGTTGAATCAACTAATCTCTTATTTGGATATGGACAGACAAATTCTTGAGATTGATGCAATAAAATAATTTAGTTAAAGCAAAAAGTTTGGTTACTACAACATTTTACTTGTTTTTAATAATATAAATTTTGTGCTTGAAACTAAATTATTTTATTGTATCAACCAAAAATTTGTTTATCCATACTTAAATTTGTTTAACCAAATCTAAATACGAAATTAATTGATTCAACCAAATGAGTCTCAGAATGTAATTATTGAGGATAATCTAAAAGCGAAGGGTCGAATTCGAAACGTCTAATTAATTTGGTTATTTAATAAAGAATTTGAATTCGCACACCTACACCCAGAGAAAGGTTTCTTCGATTTAAAGAAACGTTTCTTTACTATACGGTTAAAGAACAAATTTCTTGAATTTGAACGTCATTTCTTTGATTTAAACGTTATTTTTTTTAATTAAATAAAAAAATTTATTATTATTTAAAGAAATTATATTCAAATCAAAGAATTTTTTTCTTTAACCGTATAGCAAAGAAATATTTCTTTGAATTGCAGAAACCTTTCTCTGAGTGTAGTATTGGCTCTAATTGGTATTTGTACTTTTGTCATTTATTATATTATATATTCTTTAGAGCCTTTTATTATTCTTGATTTTTCTTCGTCGATTATGTATCGTGGCGGTTTCGCGAATAACGTGACGAAACATGGAAATATTCCAACGGATAAATTCGAGTTGGACATTAATAATGCGAATAAATCGGCATTGCGGATTGAGCTGTATACATGTGTAATACGATATTTGTTAATTAACGATTATAGCAATATGCCTTCATCAAATATTCAAATTCGGGATGTAATGTAATTATGATTACGTATACTATTTCTGCATGCATTTGCATCGCGCATAAATTGCACAACTGGTGCACCTTGCTTTAAAGCAAGCAAATAATTACTATCATTAATAACAATTAGCATCATATATGGAGTGATTAGACGTACTATTTCGGTCAATAATTATAGTTTCATAAAATAGACATGTCATTATAATGTAACGTTATTTCTAAATCCTACTTTATTAAGAGAAATAATCCATTCTATGCATAATCTATCCTTAAAATAATCTCGTCTTTATTTGAAAAAAAAAGTCGCGCGATCACGTGATCGCGAAAGAGAGAGAGAGAGAGAGATCGCGCAGATACGTTCAAGTCGTAGCCTTCCAAAAATAACAATGCAATTTATTTCGATTCTGCGATCACGTGAGAGCGCGACAGGCGTATCGGTTGACGTTCACTCACCCTGGAGATGCGCAGGGGTTGATGCGTGTCGCAGCCGCCGTGCATGCGAAAGCCCCACGGGGACCCGCCGTAGAGGGTGACTTCTCTCGCGCTCATCCCGCGTCGGCACCCCCGCTCCTCCTCGTCGACACGCGCATCCGATTTTTCCCGCGTCGCGTTGCGTCACGTTACGTCGTGGCGCACAGAGTGATATGCGGCTAAGTTCGCGACACTCGTGCCCGCATCGCGGACCGTCGCGCGAGGTAGAGTCGTAGAGACGCTTCACGACGTAACGCGCGGCACCCGGTCACGGTTTTATCCGATCCGGAGTTTGTATTGTTGCCGCCGCGAATTTTCTCGCGTCGCCACGCGATACGGACGGTCGGCTACGCGAAGTCGGGGTGAGAATAACAGTTAAAACAGCGGTCGTTGTCGCAACGACGGCGACGACGAGCGCCGATTACGCCCACTGATGTAAAACGCGATGGCAAATCACACGCACGCACGCGCGCGCGCGAGACCCACACTCGTCCGAGGTTCGCGTTGGACTGATGGCGCGTCCTTCCTCCCTCCCCCACCATTCCGCCCCCGCGCGTAGTAATCCGCGCGCGTGTGCCCTCCCTCCCCCCCCCCCCTTCGCCCACCTGGTCGTTTCGTACTCCGCGAGGGTGCGTGCGCCCACCCCCAGGACCGTTATTCCGAGATTCTTTCCGTCGCGTCGCCCCGAGCAAAATTTTCCTTTCTCATTTCGCGATTTTTTTTTTTTTACATTGTTTGGCTGTGAAATCATCCTTGGTGTAGCACCAATGTAAGGCTGCTATTTCAAAAACAATATAAAGAATATACAGGTCATATAAAAATCAAATTTAAAAATTATAAAACGTGAAAATTACGGTAAAAATATAATACTGTGTAATTAATTGATAAACAAAAGTAAATATATATTACATGTTTCGATCTCATGATTGAGTCCCCTTTAGATATTCGAAAAAATTGTATATATTCAGATGATGTTAAAGTGCTATTTCATTTGTACGCATTTTGTCGCACGACAAATTTTTTAAGCCTGTTGATTGGCTATAAGATAGAGAGATTCAAAGAGATTTCTCTGTCCTTTCTGGTTCCATCAATGTAAAGGTGCTATTTCATTTGTGCTTTTTTGTCGTATGACAAATGTGTACAGAACAGAGAGGTCCTCGGATTTTTCTATCCCACAGCCAATCAGCAGATTTGAAAAATTTATTGTACGACAAAAAATGATATTGTACGCACAAATGAAATAACAGCCTAAAATTAACTTTAATCTCAATTTAATTATCTTCCTCTGATGCTGTGTCCAATGTAGATTAACTTTAATATCGGTTCAACTTATTTTTCATCTTTCTCTAATTCTTAGAACTAGAAAAAGATGAAGAGTTATTCGAACCAAGATTAATGTTAAACTATATTGATAGAAATGTACATTAGAATAATTCTAATAATTACTTTGGTGATACCAGGCCTAAATACTAATCGACACAACCAAAAATAACATCAATGTTATAAGGTTTGTTCGATTTATTGTTTCAAATCCCTAAAAAATGGTGCACTTAAAATGAGATAAATATATGTATTCAGGCATTGAGAAAAGAAGTAAAGATTCTAAGTGCAAGCAACGTGAACACTTATTTTTTTTTTGCATCTAACAATGTAAATATATTATATATAACACGTGATTACAGATAATGAAAAGTCTAATTGAACAAGATGTCTTAAAGATGTCTTTTAGATGTCTTTAAGATATCGTATATCTCATTTTTGAAACATACATATTGTTTGGGATGTTACATAACATTATTGAGTGCGAAATTATAACATTGTTATATTATTTTTTGTTTAATGTCGATTATGGAATGTTCTTTGGTTTTGGCATAATATTTTCTCTCGAAAAGAGAAAACATAATACGCAATATTTTAAGATTTTTTAAACTAAATTCTAGTCCTTTACTACCTTGTCTTCTATTTCACACGTGCTTTTTATCATGTCTTCACGTTTTATTGTTGTCTTCCACACAGTGATGCTTATTCTTCCAACATTTTCACGCACAATCAGCGTTGACTACTTGTTGGGTCGTTTCTCCCAGATCCGTTCCTTTTCGTTCTTCCTGAACAAAAAGGAAATTTGTTATGTGCTTTATTTACACGCTTCGACAGTCCAGGACAACTCGTTTCTCTTTATCACTAAGACTATGATCCTTTCTTGATGTCCTAGAAAATAAAATGTATCGGTTAGATATATTGCAACTGAGATAAAATGTATTTTTTCTCATACGATACAGAAACTTTTAAGAACATTATTGTAATGTTCACAGTGTTATCGCAAAATTGTTGGACTATTGTAATATTGTTGTAATATTGTTAAAATAATCTATGATATAAAATAACCGACTTTCTATGAATTTCTTTTTTATATGAATTTCTCTAGTAGCACAATTATTTACATAATATTGACCAAATATATCAATCATTGGCCAATACATTCCATTAATCATGTTAATCATCAATAAATCGTACTAAGTTTTAATCATAATTAATGTTGATAAATTCATTTTTAGATTATGATTCTCTCTCGAGAATATACTTTTTCAAAATTAATATTCTTTTGTGTTTAGAAACACGAAAGTAGCAGCGGAATTGGAAAACGGACAAAAATATCCGCGAGGACAGGATCGAAAGTGTAAAAGCGTAGCTAAGGTTACATTGTCGAGATAAATTTGTAAAACTTAGAAACAAATGGCTATATGTAATGTATTAAAGTGAAGTCTATAATTTTATCATATATTCTTACCCATTTTGCTTCATTCGTATCGCTATAATTACATATACGTGGTTAGTTCGACGGGAACCGGACTCCATTTTGTCAGGAGAAATTTTCGCGCTATCCCTAAAGTTGACCGCGTGATCGAAATCGATATATCACGAGTATCGATTATAATTCTATCGTTCGAGAAACCCTGGCGAGATGGCGGTACGGTTCAACGTCAGAAAGAAACATGGCAGCGTGACACGTGGTTATGTTTGTATGTATATTGTATGGTTATATTTGTGTATTGATACATTCCCGACATTCCACTAATTTTGGCTGTATTGTGCTCCTACCGATTTTTCGCGAAGGCAGATGCCATTTATTTAAAGAGGAAGAAGAATTTCCGACATTCGGCGAACATAATAACTGACTTTTTGACCCTTTCGACTTGATATTATAAAAAGATTGTGAACAATTTTCTCACGATTGTGTTCGTCGAATCGCGATGTCCAATATAGACGGACATTCTGCCGAGAATAGCAAGAATCGCTACTTCCATGGATCAAGACGAAGAGGTAATCTGTTGTTTATAATGCTTATAACGTTATTATTGTTTATAATAATATCATTTATAATCTTTGATAACAAACATTTCCTACTGCAAACGTTAAGGGCAATCTTGATCAAACTCCGATTAACTTAATTGGCGATTTATGGAGTTTGTCGACAAGCAGAATTGCTTAAAACAAACTTTTTAATAGTTTTATTTATATTATTAAATTTAATAATTTTATTTACATTACTTAATAAAATAGTACTAATTAAGTTAATCAGAGTTCGGTCAAAGTCATCTTGAAAAGCGATTGTTTTTCTAAAGGTGGTTACCAGCACAAGCCTGGCAGACGGAGCTTCAAACGCACCTTAGATCGATCACCACGAGAAAACGTGAAGAGAAGCAAATTGGATATTGGCAGTAGATTGAAAGAATCTGACATAGGAATTACGGAATATATTGGCAAGCATCTTGGCTTTTCTGCGATAATTAAAGAGAGGTACAACGATTTTCATGTCAACGAGATAGATCTTAATGGACAAGTGGCCAAGCTGACCCATCAAGACATCCCGCGTAATCCCAGTGACGACGAAAGTATCGAAGATCTGAAAGCATTGGTGTCATTGACAATATGGGATCAGCTGCAAGCTTTGGGAAAGGAAAATCCTTCGAGTGTGGAAATTGATGTGACTAACATTGATAAAATTGAACGTAGGACTATTCATACAATTGCTAAGAAATTAGCGAATGTCGTCAGCCAGACAGTAGATAAGGGCGATAAAAAGTTCCTCACAATTGTGCCGAATACTAAAAATGACATAAATGGTAAGTTGTAAATTTCCTCATACAAAAAAAGAGACTTCTTTATCATTTTTGATTCTTATATCAGGTCCCAAGATTCGCAAAGATAAGAGAATAGATTGGAGCAGATGTGGAGGAGATTATTGTTACTTTCTGTTGCACAAAGTAAATATGGATACAATAAGCGTTGTGAACCAGTTAGCTGTAAGCTTGCGATTACAGCCAAATAACTTTTGTTACGCCGGCACGAAAGACCGCCGAGCCTGGACGACTCAGTGGATTAGTTTGAGAAAGGTAGAACCGCATAACATATTGCGAGCTGGTAAAAGTATACGCGGTGCGTATGTAGGGAACTTTAAATACGCTAAAGACAGTCTGAAATTAGGAATGCTGAGTGGTAATCAGTTTAGAATAGCGCTGAGAAATGCCTGTGAAACAGACGAAAAGATCGAGCGAGCGATGAAGTCATTGCAGGACAATGGCTTTATTAATTATTACGGTTTACAAAGATTTGGATCAGTACCTACTATACCCACACACGAAATTGGGAAATGTCTACTTCAGGGTGATTACTGTTTTCTTTATATCAGACAGCATTTTAGCCTTAACGATCTAAACTAGATCTTTAGAAAATAATATTTTTTCGGTGCAAATTTATATTGCAGGACGGGATATATATATATATAAATTCACACCGAAAATATTATTTAAGCACTAAACATTTATCTTAGACAGTTAAAAGGCTTTAATTACCCAGTTGTATATTTTTATATAATTTATATGTATTACATTATCTTTTGTTAGGTAAATGGCATGAAGCAATTGAACTAATTCTGAAACCACGACCAGAAACGGATAACGAATTGGCGGAAGTTAGACGAATCTATGCGGAAAGCAAGGATGCCCGTGCTGCCTATGCCAAGCTCAAAAGAATCGATACAATTGAAGCCAGACTTTTGAAAGGTCTACAAATATCGGGTGACAAAAATCCTCTAGGTGTACTCGACTCAATCCCTCGAAACATTCGATTAATGTATATTCATGCTTATCAAAGTTTCGTATGGAATCATATTGTGTCGAAAAGGATAGAACAGTTCGGAACAAAAGTGGTCGTAGGTGATTTAGTTTATGACAAACAGAATTGCAAAGAGACTATAAATAATGAAAGTACGGATTATCCTTTGAATGATAATGAAGACATTAAAGATAAAACTGATATTACCTCTGTCGAAGAAAAAGATATCGAGTCAACATCGAATGAAGTAAATAAAGAAAATTCGGAGCAGGATTTTCCAACAGTAAAAATTCTTACAGAAGAAGATTTATCGAATTACATTTTGACTGATGTAGTTATGCCTCAGCCTGGATGGAAAGTTACATATCCGCCGTATGCAAAAGCCTGGTACGATGAATTTTTAGCTAAGGATGGATTAACTACCGATCTTAGACAAAATAACAAGTGAGTGAGTTTATTTACAAACATAATATTACAATAAATTGTTACTATCGTTTACTTTCTCTCTTTTTAGAAAATACAGTTTAAGTGGTGCTTATAGAAATATATTAGAAATTCCAACGAATCTATCTTGGAAGATTATGCACTATGAAAATAAACATGACGACTTAATCTTATCAGATATCGACGAAATGAGGAAGCATACGTCTCCGCAGGATAAACCAAGTAAATCAATTACTTTTACATTTATTCGAAACGTTTGTTTTAAAAATAATTCAAATATGAACTATTTTCAGATGGAAAGAACAAAGCATTGATCATAGAAATGTGTTTGAAGTCTAGCAGTTATGCCACAATGGCTTTGCGTGAAATATTGAAGAATGATACTTCAGCAGAAACGCAGGCCGCTTTATCAGCCGCTCACGATGTAGAAAATATAAAGTCCAACGTAACCACCATAGATGAATGTAGCAGCAAAGACTTGGAAATTGAGAAAGATTATACAGAAAAAAATTCCGACGAATGCCATGAAGACATTGATGTAAAGACGGATGAGACAATGAAGATAAACGATATAGAGAATATATCAGAGACATGTCCAATTATAAAATAAATTTTAATAAAAAATGTAGACAGAAGACAAATTTTCATAATCAATTAATTTGTTAGCAATATTTTTTAATAAACCAATTGATTATGAGTGATAATGTAAATATAAATAAATTTTATTAAAATGTAATCACTAATCTTTTTACAGACAAGCAGCCATCAAACCTGCCACGTTTTCAAAATCAATCTTTTCAGTAATATTCTTAGTTTTGATGTTTTCGTCTTGATTTGCAACGAAGATGATCGTTTTAGTCTCTTCTTTCCAACCATACTTTTTCACCCAATGTTTCAATGTTGCATCTGTAAAGAAAAAAACTTAATAAGCTTTACACTTACAACACTCGTACAATATTACAAATAAAAATTTTATATATCATACCATCCACGCCACCAAGCAGTTGTGCCAGGAGTGCTCTATCTATCGTTTGAAACGTGATTCCTACTACGTGGCACACAAACTTTCTTATCGAATCCTGGAAACCTACAATCCTATCACAAAGCTCTGACATGGACATCACTCTGTCCCAAAAATGCTGAAAGTCGCATCGTTCCAAGATATCTCCCAGATACATGATTTGATTAATGGGGCTTTCCGACATCTAGAGATCAATGCAACTGCATGTAAATAACGAAAAAGAAAATTATCCTGAATGCTTCAATTGAAACTTACAAGTTTCTCGCTGAGCAAGCACTTGCACAGCACGAAATCAGTATGTGGTAGATTGGTCAACGCCTTCAACAATATCTGACACGTAATGTCCATGTTGAATCGGTGTGGATTTAACTGATAGAGTTTCAGAACAGCCAAATTTGCTTCCAGATCATAAGCATTTTCTCTGGATTGTATTTCAACATATTTCTCTAAAGTCGTGAGATTATCTGGATTGTATCTAAAAGCACATTCATTGTAGCCAATACAAGCAAAAAAACTAATTCTAAATAATTATTATTGTATTATTAAAAGTATGGATATATTATTATAGATTAATAATTACTTTTCAATTACACCAAAATTCAGATAATTCTCATTTATGACATCATAATTCAGTTAAATGCACATTTCTTTTTATTATGATAAATGAGATTTAATTGAATTTTTATCTACAATCTCTATAAGCTTGAAACCATACGGTATGTTTCACTGATCTAGAATCAATTTAATTCTTCTTAAAACACATTATTAAATACAAAAATCTAAGAGACGTGTATTTAATTTTCATGATCGAATTTGAAATTTAAAAGGTATAATAAGCTCTCAAATCTAATGATTATATTTATTAATTCCAATCAATTGTTTTAGACAAAACAAAATAACATTTTTACATACTTTATAACCAGCTACATATCTAGATTTTGCAAAAGTATATTTTGAAAAATTCCTATCCTTGTCAAATTTTAAGATTGTTTTTCACTTCTCAAATTGAACCAATATAAAAAATATGTGTATCTTAGATTTCTGTTTAACAAAATGTTTGAAGAAAAATCAAATTGGTTCGACATTTGTGACAAGACCCTTCTCAGTGTCTTATTAACTCATATTATGTTATGCAATAACTTTTTTTTGAGCAAGTAATAACGTCATTATCTGAATACAAAATATATAATTTTAGACTCAATAATCAACACTTGTATGAAACTGGAAAGTAACTATCATAATTATTTTATTTTTGAGGGATACAGTCAACATAAACATCGTTCTAATCTTCTTGACAGTCAATGAATAACAAATATAAAACGAAATGTCGAAACTTTTATCAACTGTGTCTCTTGAAAAGAATCCAGTCTTAAGGCATACAGTACGTGAACGCGTGTCATGGAAAACTATTTGTGCGAACCAAAAATGCAGCAGAAATGAAAACCAACGAACCTTTCAATGCCTTTGAGCATTCCAGCTACAGTTTGACGCATCGCTTCAGCCATTTCTGCCAATAAAAGAGTCTTATACTACAAATATTGTCGATGTAATCAAAACTGGTTTTATTCTTCGAACTCTGGTTACGAACTCTCCTCTTTATAAAAGAATCGCTATGTATCTCTCCCCTTCGGCGCCACTATCGGCATTCCGATCAACTCGCCATCGATTGGCCGTGCCTTGTGATTGGCCCATCAACAATATCCTCTCGGGATTGGTTGAAGTGTCAAGTGTGTAATGCCTAATTCACACTGGACACAACAAGCGTCAAGCAGCGGAGCAGCAACCAATCAGTGAGGCAATATTTACAGTGGCGTAAACAATATCGCTTTGCTGGTTGGGTGCTGCTCTACTGCTTGACGCTTTCTGCGTTCATGTGAATTAGGCATAACTGATAGTAACTAACTAGGCAACTAGGAATCTCATCTCATCGCTATTCGTATTCTTCTAGATCTAAAATTCTGATTGGATGATCTAAAAGAATACACTAACACCGAGCGTTCATTCAACTGTTAAGTCCACTGAACCAGAGAAAAGAACAAATTTATTGCACTGCTTGCATCAATTCAATTCAGAGAGTATAGGAATAAAGAAGAGATTTCTTGATGACAACAAATTGTAACAAATTGATAGAAAAAGTGACGAAGCTGAAACCGTTAGACGAGCATTTAGACGTCGATATAATCGTTTTCTAGTCTAAGTTCTCAATCGTTTCAAGAGTAATAGCGTTTAGTAAACATGGCCAAGCATCATCCGGATTTAATCTTCTGTCGCAAGCAACCGGGAGTCGGTGAGTTGAGGTTGAGTCTAACCCCTGCAAGTCAAAATAAAATACTTTAATTTAACAATTATCTCTTTTTTATCAAGCCATCGGTCGATTGTGCGAAAAATGCGACGGCAAATGCGTCATTTGTGACTCTTACGTGAGGCCGTGCACCTTGGTTAGAATATGCGATGAGTGCAATTATGGTTCTTATCAGGGACGTTGCGTGATATGCGGTGGTCCCGGTGTGTCGGATGCGTATTATTGTAAAGAATGCACGATACAGGAAAAAGATGTAAGTATAGGTTTTTTTAATTCATCGATTGATCAATCACATGCGCAAATGCAACTTTGCTCCGTAAAGCTGCATTTTCATATAATGCATTGATTAATTGATAAATTAAAAAAACTTTTATTTCTAATAATCTTAGATTAGTTTATTCTTTTCAGCTGAACTTCTTATAGAAACTATATACTAGTAAAATTATTACCAAAAATTAAATGTAAAGTATGTATTTCTTTTCTTTTTAATTGTGATAGGATGTGGTTTATTTGACTTAAATTGTATACAGGGTATCCTGTAAGTTTTTGCCAATCACTTTTTTAGAATTTTTTATCTACTTTTTAGTATTGCATTTTTTTATTTTTATCATGAGAAAATATAGTATTAAAAAATTCTGAAAAAATTCTTAGAACTTTATAAGAAGAAAATAAACAATTTTTATCTCTTGCTGTTTTTCTATAAAGTTGATAGTATTTAAGTAAGAAATTATTGAAAACCAATATTTAGCAATTTTTGGTAATTAATATTTCGTTAACCATTGCGAAAATTGCAAAATAATAAAGAACTCGACTCAATTTAATTCGCTCTATCTACACAAAAGCGATTGGCCAAAATCCCCTTACGGGACACCCTGTATATTATATTCTGCAGAATCCGATTTTTAAATCGAGAGAGAAACATATAATAAATCTAATTAAAATAATTTGTAAAATTTTGTTAAAGGACTATATACATTTCATGTATGTTATATGTATATGACCTACAATTTAACGCGGGATCTGAACGGCGCTAGTGATAAAAGATCTCTTAATCACCAGATCAAATCATTTTCAATTCCTTAACGCGAAAAATCGCGTATGTGGGCGCAGGTGGGATTGAATCCAGTTCTATCTATCAGATCATGAATCAATCGCACTGAGCGGCAAGCCACTTGATGCCTCGAAAGATAGTAATTAATTACTTATTGAACAACAATACTGTTAATAATTAAAATAAATAATTACTGTCTTTTAATATTGACCAGTAGATTTTTGTAAACGATTTTTTGCAATTTATTTTCTTTCTAATTTTAAGAATTAGAAAAAGAAAAATTTAAACGAGATTAAAGTTGATCTATAGGAACAGACGTTTTCTTTCCAATATGGAATGCCACAAGAAGTTCAGTGGAAAAGAAGAGACTGTATATTTATAAGTTTTGTAAATAATCCAGTAAATTTCCAGTTTGTATATTCGTAAATTGAATATCCTAAATCGCGTTTTCAGAGAGACGGATGTCCCAAGATAGTCAACTTAGGAAGTTCAAAGACAGATCTGTTCTATGAGAGGAAGAAATATGGATTCAAAAGAAGATAATTACACTTTTTCTATATAGAATTTTTCCTAAAATAACACATTATGAGAGCATCAGGTAATTTATTATTTTTATAAAAGTATCGTTACGATGGCAACATAATTTTTTGTTTCGCAATATAAAAACAGATAATTATGAATATCTTAATTTTATATATTAAACTACGCTCTGTAAGCATGAATATAGCAAAGACAAAATAAATATTCAATTTGTTATATATATATATATATATATATACTTTATTGATCTTGCTTTGTAAATTGATATACTTTATATTATTCTTGCTTTATAACTATTTTTTAAAATATAATTTGTTAAGGTAGTAAATAAAAATAAATTTTTTCAAAGTGAAAATGTGAGGTAAATAAATTTTCGTACTTTCGTTGCACATTTGTATTAAAACTAAATGGAGCAATAAATGTAAGGTACAATGCCAAGGTATAATGCAAAATCATAGAAAGAATACATAATGTAATAATATAAAAATATCAAAAAGAATATCTTTCTAAAAATATCAAACTTATGTTAAAATTAGCAGTGGTTTTTCCGATGGCGGTAGTTCTTTCGTTTCTTGTATCTCGACGATCTCCTGTTTTATGATATTCCCTTTTTCGTCTACGTCATCGATAGATATTAAAATATTAGATACAACAGGTACGAATTTGTCAGCGTCATTCTCTGCCGTTTCCTCTTGTGAATCCTGTACAGTTTCTTTCATTTCTTCTTCCGCATTATTTTCAACAATCTGGAACAAATCATTACGATTTCCAATGGAATAAAAACTGTTAAATAATGTTAAGTTAACAAAACTCACTTTTACTGTTGTCAGCGAGGTAGTTTGATTCAGCTCTATTTTATATTTTTTATCTGGTAAATCCGCCTCTTCGACGGGCAACATATTTTCTTCATCCACAGCCTCGTATCGAACCATCTGTAGCCTGTAACATCCGTCTTCTTCCTGCGTATAATGGAAGCGTTTGTGTCCACTGGGCAATTGCAATCGATGGGCTTCTATAAGATGCTTTGTCAATCTATAACTCTTTCGATATTTAATCGGGCATTCGTGGCAACAGTACCATCGCACCGCTAAACTATGTACTCGTTCTAAGTGCCTGTAATACATTTAACAATCATCAAATAAAGAATAAGTCATTAATGAAGAGCTTTATGATTACCTATCCAAGGTGTAAGCTCCCTTGCATGTGTAAAGACATCCCTCGAAGTAGCAAGAAAAATTCGGTCCATCAGTATGGACAGTCATGTGAGAATCAAGATCCTGTTGTGACTTGGCAGCATGCGGACACAACTGACATGGAAACGTTCTGGTTGACATGTGACGGTATCTGACGTGTTTTGCCAAGCCCGACGGCGATTCACAGCTCATGTCACATAGAGTACATTTATAATTGAACACATGAGATCTCATGTGATCGCGCAAGATTCCTTCGGTTGGATAAAATTTGTTGCAGTGTGAACAACGGAATCCTTGCACTGTAAATTCATGATGTATTGGAAGAAAATTAAAGAGATGCCGAAACACACGATGAATTTATTACCTTCCAAGGGAATTTGTCGCTGGCAATGTATGTGAAATTTCGTCTTTGAAGCGAACGTGACACCGCAATCCGGGCAGGCAATTATTTTCTCTTTGGTATGACATCTTACATGATCTCGTAATTTGTACAAGCTAGTATATTTGCCATTGCACCCGGTCCATTTGCAATCAACTCCGTCTTTGATTCTATTGCCACGCGGGTAATCAGTCATGTGTACAGTAATATGATATAAGTACATTTGATAATTCGTGAATAGTTTCAAGCACTCTTCCCATCTGCACAAATGTGGAGGTGGAGAATCTAAAATGTTCTTCCATTCTGCATCTCTATGACATTTCTGCAAAAAAAATCTTTAACATTTATTCTACTGATGACCATGTGGAGGTTTTCCAGCAATAGACACAGTAATCATTTCACCTTTGTCTGAATTGTAAAAAATTATGCAATATAGTTAGGTAATACAGTCAAGACTTGCCTTAATTAAATACTACTCTTTTCATCCATTTGGTGAATATTTAATTTTTATTTAAGATTGACAAACAAGAAGGTAATGATTTACTATGTCATCCGTGTCTCTTGCTGAAAAATACCCATCGTTACTTACGGGTAGTTTGATTTTTGCGCGAACATTGGATCCAATACACTTCAACTTAGTGTGATAGGCATGATAATTAACATGCCGTATTACTTCGTCACCTACATCGGTGTTATATGGACAATCTTTCCACTGACACACATAGACCTCGTTGTCGTTTTTTATGCTTATCTGTATGTTAGGTATGTGACTCGAGACATGCCTCAAAAATTTGTCCAAATGATTGCTGTGAAACGTGCACTCCTTCCACTCGCAGACCAGACTCAGCACCTCGTCCTTCAGTTTCGTTCCCACTTTACGTTTTTTCCCGCCACACTCTGAGACGGAGTCGAATTCGGAATCCGTGTTGTACCAATCATCGCATTCTAATTCATCTAGCTTTTGCTTGAGGGAGTCCTCTTTATAGAAACAATCTTTCTGGGATTCCACCCAGTTACCGCATCTATCCAACATTACTTCATTCGCCGTCAGTTTTGCCTCTAGATCCTCCATTGCACAAGGATGTTATTATGTCTTGTACCTGGAACGAACGTCTTGAGTTAGACATACTTTCTAAAACTTTTAGAGTAAATCTTATTCTAAGCGAAATTTCACTTTAAAGATTGAAAACTGAACCACTTTTTTTTAAGACTAGGGCCCAGTTTCACAACTCATGGTTCTTAACCAAGGTTTAATTTATTCCTTACTTCTTTCGAATTCTAGCATTAGAAAAAGATAAAGAATAAGTTAAATCATGGTTAAGAGTTAACCATGAGTTGTGAAACTGGACCTAGCTTAATTTTCATTCTTTTTTAGTAAGTTTCCACTCTAAGGCCCAGTTCCATAACTCACTTCATTAACTCTTAACCGAGGTTCAATTTATTTCTCATCTCTTTCCAATTCTAGAATTGGAACCGCTTGATTAACCGTAAGTTGTGGAACTGGGCCTAAAGAATTTAAAGTGTAATTCAATAACGATTACTCTTGTAAATCTTTACTTATACCTTATGAAAACTATACTCCTAAGTTTTACAGTTTGAAATACAGAATGCAAGTAAACTTCGCTTTACAGCAATTAATAAAAGAAGGTTTAAAGTTTGTTTCCTTATAATTTAAAACCTCATACTCTATAAAGTTTTCTAAGTAGAATCTGACTCTAAAGAGTGAAAATTGAACCTATCTTACAAAAGTGTGGTTCAATTTTCAATCTTTAAGAATGAGATTTCACTCTTCAATAAAATTCACCTTAAAAGTTTTGGAAAGTATCTAGTACCAATCATAAAGATTATACAACCGTGTAAAATTTTCTGCTTCAGGTCTAAATGATCCGTTGCTGTAATCCAGGGTTAAACGTACTGTTGCAGCGGGACATGAAATGGCGATCGTGACGATCGATGGACGAGAAGGAATTTTGTTGAATCAGAAGCAAATGAGAGGAACTACCGATTCCTAATTACTTCCAATCAAGACATCGACAATACTGATCTCACGTCTCTGCCGAGCAGTACAGCGTTCGTTTCCGGCAGTCTCGCCGTTTCTCACCGTGTGATTCCACAATCGCAATCTCTTCGTAGTGCACTGTTATCCACTTGTCTCACTCGCTCGTCATCTCGTCGATACATGTCGACATTTCGTCTGACGAGCAGTAAACTCGCTATGCGCCTGTTCTCATCTCCGGCGAGCCTTCGCGAGTGTTTCTATTCCTTCATCCGTGGATCTTCTCGAAGCACGCGATTTATCGTATCGCGTGGGACATCGCGCTATTGTCACTTTACCGCCAACTGTCCTGTGAGCGATCGTAAGGGCACGACCATTTGTGCCCTGTCTTCCGGTTATTACACTTACACTTTGCCCGGCAAGAAAGAGGGAGGGTGGATCTTGATACGCTTGATTCTTGTAAATTTCCCGATAAATTTTCTGGCATTTTTCTGACAGGTTAAGACTCGGATCGCGTGTCTTCTCCCCTCCCTCTGATTCGCATCGCATTGCTCTTTTTTACTAGTGTAGATTTAACTTAACTTTTTTATTTTTTTTTTTAGTTCTAAAAATAATGCCTGTTTTTACTAATTTAATTTTTATCTAAAGAATTTTAAAAAAGATGAAGAGCAAGTTAAACCGAGATTAAAATTAATCTATATTGATAGAAATGAACAATAGTTAGTTCCTTAAAAGAAAGAAGCTTTGATCAAGATTCGAATAACTTAATTTATGTTCATTGCCATCAATGTAGATTAACTTCAATCTCGGTTAAACTTACTTTTTTAGTTCTAAGAATTAGAGAAATCTCTTTTATAGTTCTTAAAAATGATAAAAAAATATAATTAAACCGAAATTAATCTACATAGAAATCTAATTATATAATTTGTCGATTTATGTCTATTTCTAATGTAGATTTACTTTAATCTTAGTTTAATTTATTCTGTATCTTTTTTAATTCTTAGAACTAGAAACGAATGGAAAATAAAAGTTAGTCATGTGATGAAAAGTTAATTTACATTAACTTTAGAATAGAAAATGAGCATTAATCTTTTTTCCATATGTTAAACAGCAGAAATTTTGTAATTCTGTTCGCGCAAACAAGAGAAATGAGTATTATTTAATGTGTAAATTATCTGCAGAACAGAAACTCTAACAATATATAACGTTATTTGATATTATTTCTCATTCAATAATATATCCTATAAATGTAATAAAATACATGTTGTACTCTCTAAATTCTTTGGAGAAATCTCTAAAGAGTGAAAATTAAGCCTGTCACTCTCGAAAAAGAGTGAGATTCACCTTGAAAGTTTTAGAAAGTATATAACAATTATTATAATGCTGAATAGGAAATTGTACTGTTAATGTTATTTTTAGTTAATTTGTGTTCTGTGGGACCGATTAAATTAATCAAAGTGCCTCAATTTCAATCAAATGATTATTGCCATGTTTCTTCTTTTGTTTTCTTCGATCTTTGCATGCTTTACAAAACGGCACTATACTAAATCTTGCAATCTACGCTGTTAAAATGAAAAAAATTGTTTTTGCAATTAAACTTTCTTCTTTTTTTCTTGGTGTAAATATGAAGTGCATTATTAAATTTACATTAAGCATCATAGATATAAGAATTAAACAAAAATGTTTATTAAGGTCACGGAAAATGTGGCGTGGCAGTGGTGAGAATATCAGGAAGCCGGTCTCTAGACGCACTGAAAAAGATGACAAGCATATCCAAGCTGGAACCGAGGAAAGCCTTCCTGCGAAAGATACGCGATCCAGAAACAGGAGAGGTCATCGACAATGGACTTTGCTTGTGGTTTCCCGGTGCGTGCAGTTCTCGCACAATTCTCACCTTTTTAATCCTCTACCAACAACTAGAATTAAAAGACATCAGATTTTTATATAATCAGGAACAAGAAAAAATTTGTTCTATTTCATCAAGAGACCTATTGCTGATAGAAGAATTGAAATTCATGTTGTCAACGAAGAGTTAACACATTCGATGACTCGTATGCTTTTATTTTTATATTTTCTTATAAATTTAAATTATAAGTACTCATATATTTCGTTTAGAAATTTAACATATAAATATTTTAGAGGACAGTCTCTAAAGAACTGCAAGAGACTTGTCCGGAACTGATTCGATTCTCCTTAAAAATCTAAGAGACATTTTTTATATCGATTCAATCTTATAATCAGATTTGAGAGATGTAAAAAACTTCAAAGTTAACCTTCAAAGTTAGCGCTTATATTTAATTCTTATCGATTATCAACGATACGGTGAATTATACAGAGAAATGTTTGAAATCTAAAAGAATTTAAAGTTTTCCAAATCTATAAGAATCTAATATTTTTAATACTCTCATCTCCATTAAGTTTTGAGGATTTAACTCTTTAATCTCAAATTGGGCAGATATAAAAATATATGTGGTTTTAAAATTTTGTGTTCAATAACATATTTCACGGAGAATCAAATCGTTTCCAGTTGTAATAGGTCCCTTGTGAGTGGCGACGAAAGAAACGAGGAATCTTCTATCACAGGAATGTCTCAAAAATCACATGTCTGATTAGAACAACCATTTGTAGGTCCGCACTCATTCACCGGCGAGGACTCCGTGGAGTTTCATGTACACGGCGGATCAGCGATCCTGACGAAGCTGATGCAAGTCCTCTCGAGATTGCAGGTGCATCCGGCGCTGCCGGGTGAATTCACCAGACGCGCCTTCTATAACAATAAGCTGGACCTGACGGAAGTGGAGGGTCTGGCTGACTTGATAGAGGCCGAGACCGAGTGTCAGAGGAAACAGGCGCTGCTACAGGCCGATGGTATCCTGCGTAAGCTGTACAATAGCTGGCGGAAAGTGCTTTCGGAGTCCGTGGCGAGTATCGAGGCGTACATCGACTTTGGTGAGGAGGAGAACATCGAGAGTGATGTGGTACAGAACGCGCACCACTCTCTCAGACAGCTGATGCGGGAACTGGAGGAACATCTAGCCGACGGCAGGCGCGGCGAAATTCTACGCAACGGAGTGAGGACTGTAATCATCGGCGAACCCAACGTGGGCAAGAGCAGCCTGCTGAATCACCTGGTGCAGCGAAATGCCGCCATCGTCACACCCATCGCCGGCACCACGAGGGACGTCATCGAGCTGACGGTAAACATCTCGGGCTATCCTGTGCTGATAGCGGACACTGCTGGTATCACGGAGGACATCGGGGATATCGTTGAAGCCGAGGGTGTTCGTCGAGCGAGGAATCACGCGGAGAACGCTGATTTTGTAGTCGTTATGATGGACGCGTTGAAGTGCGCAACCAGTGGTTTGACTTATAAAGACTATATACGCGAATATCTGTCGTCATTGGGAATACAGGAGCTACTGGCGAAAATCGGGAGAGGACGTTTTATCGTGATAGCGAATAAAAAAGATTTATTGAAGGAGGAGGAGAAACGGCATCTCGACGACGCTGAAGCAGTTCTGGTATCTTGCAGAACTGAGGACGGTTTCCAGAATTTGCTGCGATCGCTGACAGATCACTTCAGTAATATGTACGATAGAATGAACGATAATCATTGACACTTGCATTCGTGATTATATGGTAACATTTTGTTTAGATGCGGTAATCCATCCACGGAGTGTCCAACCATCAGTCAGGCAAGACACAGAAACCACTTGGATCAGTGCTCGAGACATCTGCAAAAGTACTTCGAATTTTGCGCCAATGAGCAGCACGATATGGCCATAGCGGCGGAGGAAATCCACAAAGCGATGCGGGAACTCGGAAGGATAACGGGACACGTTAGCACTGATGAAATATTAGACATTATATTCAAAAATTTTTGTATCGGCAAATAAAGCGCCGTTGTTTGTATATAAAAAACGTTTTTGTATTTTCTTATAAGATACTTTGCAACTTTTTTTAAATTGCAGAGTAACTGCGATCAGATAGTTAAACGTCTTTACTGAACTATTTGTATTATATACATATAACAAACGGAAGATTGCAGTATTGAAATTGTATAACATGTATTAAAACTATCGTTTTAAAAGATATATGGAACATCGGTTCCTTAGCTGTACGGAAAGAACAGTTTTGTTATAAAAATAATTTTGCTTAAATCAAAAATAATATGACGCTTAACTTGGGACTAGAAAATTTATTGCAGCATTGCCATCAACATTTAAGTGTTCTATATAATTATTTTGTTTAAAACAAAATTATTTTCAGATCTGTATCTAGCTAAATTTTTTGTTACTTCAGCAAAACTGTTCTGTCTATTGAAGAGAGAAATTAAAGTACAAAGCGTAGTTATCTATTCAGTATTCTATGCATTCTTTTTAAAATGACATAATATATTATGATTAAGCGTGATTAATTAGAACGCATTATGACGGCGTGAAATAAATGGAAAGAAGCGAACCTTCATAAGCATCGTATGTTTATTAACAATGTTACACGCACAATCATACATAGAACAACCTTTTGCCTGATTATAAGATATCGATACCCTACGCGTTATACACTGATAGGGCTCCGTTAATGGTTTCAAGTCGTTATCTGTATGCCATGTCCGTGTTATGTGTGCTAATTGCATCTTGTTATTATGACATTTATCATAATAACTCCGCTCGCTCTCGCAAAAAAAGGATCATTCAACTTGGCGAAATAACGAAAGTAAAACAACTCGAGTGAGGGAAAGAGAAAAAAATAAAAAAAAAAAAGAAAAGGAAATAAGTCGTATACAAAAATTCACTTTCTATGACTCGAACGATTCCTTTACATGTCTTACAAATTTGTGATATTTGAAATAGAGAAAAGCATGTTTCTCTATTAAAAAAAAAAAAAAGAAAAAAAAAGAAATTCGAGTTGTATTATGATCGACCATTAAATGGTATTATTATAAAGTCCGTTATGCAACTGCTAATGAAATTTTTCGTTTTCTAATCGTGCTTATCGCGTTAATTTCATTTTTACATTGACAACGTCCAAATTTTAACAAATATATCTTTTTCATATTGTTTGCACGGTGACTCCTCATCTCTGCTGATTAAGGATTGAATTCTCACGATTCGTTGCGAGTCACCCGTGAAATTTTATGCGCGCAGCGAGAGATCACCAAAAATATGCTATTAATATAGTACAATCAGTCCATATAAAGAAATCGAATGGCTTATAAATATATATAAAGATTTGGCGAATTCATCACGCGACTCATCACACTGCGCAGGATTCGTCGCTTATTCCTCCTATTTCTCTGGTGTCCCCTTTTTTTTTTATATTATATAAACCCGATGTGTAGAATCCTCAGAGAGTAGATTGCTCGTTTGTACAATTGCATACAATAGTTTGAGATCTATCCGAAAGCAAACTGACTCGCGCTGCACGTCCGAGACGCATTTATTACAAAGATCGTTTTCATTTTCTATCTATACATGTTCTATTTTCTTCCACCCAATTTTTTTTTATATATAAAGCCTTAAATTATTGCGCGAGATCATCCGATCTCGCAAAAGAAGCAAAACTTGGCTACGCATCAGTTCTCTTTTTCTGCGGAACCGAACCAATCACGCGTAACTGTCTCTGTAATCCTTAAATGCTACTAAAATTGAAATTTTTCCAACTCTCACGAAAAATCATAGTAGAATTTAAAGATTGATGCGAACCTAGAGTGAACCGCTTGAGTACATCCATGAGTAAATTAGAACGTTCACTATATAATACATAACATTCTTTTACATGTCAAATATAATAATTGAATATAAGTTTTTATAGAGTATAAACGAAATCCTGATTAGAAAAATTGATAAACGTAATTAGATGTAAAATTGAGACAAAAATTAATTATAGTATTATATTTATATTTAGACAATATTTCTCGTTTAAAAGGCACACAGATTTGTGCGCAGGATCGGATACGGATGAACGCAAGCGGTTCAGAAGGTCCTTCGTACCGTGAAGATATGAACGAGAAAGAAGAAACAAAAGAAAGTCTGTCGAGGATCGAATCGAAGACTGGTCGATTCCTCCTCTCGCTCCTAAATTATCCATCTCTTCCCCGCATCGAGATAGACGTCCACATTCGTCCATTTCATT